TGAGATGGGCTATAATATACTAAACTCATACAAGCTACACGGACCCCCTTGTAGGGCCCACCACACATTGTTTTTCAATGATCCGAACTGTCTAATTTTTAAATATTTCATCAAAGATCGTCTCTGCAAAAATAACTTGAATCTAAAACCATTTGATCACTCAATTAGATAATTGTTATTTTAGTCTTTTCTTGAAGCACCATGTTCGTTTATTTTATTGTTTGCAATTAGGTGCCTTAATAATTTTCAATTTGTTTGATTTTTGGCAAGAATAATCTATGAATGAAGATTTGAAAAATAGTCTATTTGGATCGTTTAAAAAAAATTCGCATGGTACCCCGACAGGACCCGACCCAAATTCTACTTTGGAAGCTGAGCCGAACCCTGTGCGTGTCCGACACCTTGCGGGTGCAGGGCACACTTAACCAAATTTCCCTTCTAACAACAACCAAAATTAACTTCAAGTTTGACTTCTGCCGAAAATTCGGCAGAGTCTCCCTTATAAATACTCATTTCCCAAAAATTTACACTTGTACGAAAAGCAATTTATAACCACAACCGTTCAGCATGCACCAAGTTTGAATTCAAGCAATCCAACAACAAAACTTTATGGCCTCAAGCCTTACAGAAATCCTAGGGCAATATCAGAGCAATACTAATCTATTTAATTAAAACAGAAGCACGGATATGTGAGAATATCCTACATAGTGGAAAAAGGATGAAAAGTGATTATGAACGCTGGGTGGTGGTGCTCTGGTACACGTCCATTGCCTGGGGGCGCAAAACATTAAAAATGTGAGTGGACAAAATAAAGTTTTGGAAAATAGAATATTAATAAACTAACCCCACTGTTAAAACATTTAGAAAATTCAATTATATTCATGTTCTATATTCGTACAAGAATTAAGATATGCATATTTATATATTTGTTATTAATCATGCATTCAATCAAATCATCAAAATCAATTTAAAGCATTGAAAAGAAATAATTTCCTTCCACCTAGGTATACCCATAATACATCTGTCAATTCCATGATTTTCTATTTAATTCCCACATTATACCGTCAATTCCTTGTGTCACGTAGTGTGACACATCCTCTCAGGCCTCGGTAACACAAAGTCGACCCGAGCCGCATTCCACGCAAGACTCAGGGGACACTTGGTCAACCTGAGCCGCATCCTCGCTCCTCACTGTCCGGATATCCCTAAGACTCGGCAGGCAAATGTGAAACGCATGCTGACTCAACCGAAGGCAACTAGAATGTCCGTGGACATCATTATAACTGAAGGCAATAATTTATCCGAAAGCAACTTTTTGGGTACCTACGGTGGTTTTAAAAGAACATTTCCTGAAAAATTGTTGTTCTCATTAAATCCTTATATCCTGTTATCATTTTGTTTTCTACTTTCCAAGCCATTCATAATTAAACATAAATAGAATTTGATAAAAGAAATATTTGAATTCAAAATAACTGCTTGGAAAGCGAAAGCCATACATAATTCCTTAACTTAACCCAATCATGAAAAATCCTTCAGAATCGTTCTCAAACTAAATTCAAATATGCATAAGATACCATTTAGAAAACTGGAAATCATAAATTACCAATTCCATAAGCAAAACAATTAATAATCACCATTCAAGAATTTCTTAAAACTATTTAGAAAACAAATGTCCACTAACTGAGCATCCAAGCTAGCCTGACCCTTTGAGGGTCCTTCCTATGGGTTCAATGAAGCACGATGTTGGCCACCCGAAGGTGCATGTTTTAAATTTATAAAACTCGCAAGCGCACGAATCGTTTGTAGAATAAGTGTGTGTAAGTGCGAGGTCGTACCCACAGGGAGTGCGTGAAAAAGATGGAAACAAACCCAACCCAAGTTAATTCAAAGTTGAAAAAGAAAAATAAATAAAGCAAAGAATTGAAAATGCAAATAAACTAAAATTGGGAAAAACTTAGGTTTTAGATTCCATACCATTATTCCATAAACTCTAACAATTCCCACGGAGTAGCAATCAAGAAATCAATCTACTACTTTCTCAAGATATATCAATTAAGCATGCGTTTTTATGAATCTTATGTAAATTCCCCTTCCCTTCATAATTACAAATTCTAAG